AACGAAAAAAAAAAATTTACATTAGTTTTTCATATATTAACCTTTAAATTCATGTATTACATTTAACTTAAAAAGATGAGTTTCATAAGTATTTCTACAACATGATTTAGAAGTTCATCGTTAATGTAAAGCATTGGTTAATCATCTTCAAATGAAACCAATCTCATTTTGAAAACTTAAGATTATAATTAGTTGCTATTACATTGCAAATATAAGAGATTCGAGGTTTCATGCGAGTGATAAAATAAGGCTTAAGCAACATTTTATTAACTGATTAATTCATAAATTTTATATTTTTAAATTTTATAACATTTGATTTTTTCTCCAATAATATATAAAAATAAATCGAATTTATCTACATTTTTATCTAATTATATCTAATAGTTATTTAAATATTTGTAATATTTTTTTTTCAATAATTATTATGTAATTGAGATTTAATTTTTATGTAATTAAATAAAATAAATTACAAATATATTTAAAAATATTTATATTTATAAGTTTTATACGCATATTTTCATATGCGATGCAATATGAATGAAATACGCCGCTGAGTGAAGTCATCTGTTCTATATTTTTTGCTTTTATAAAATACAATTTATTTCCTTATGCTAAGATATCTAAATGTGTTGATTAAATTACTTCAATTAATTAAGCCCATTTACATAACATTATAAATTCCTTATGAATTTGAGAAAAAAAGTAATCAATACCATAGAGAATATACACAAATCAAATTAGTGACTACGATGGTGTTATATATAAGAAATTATGCAAATTTCTGATTTTGCGTTTCGATTATGTTATGAGAACAACTCAAATACAGGAATTCATAGTTATTGAAAATTTTATTTACGTTATCAATAAATTATTCTCGGCGGAGGAAAGCAGAAAAGATGTTTCTTTATGTCTGCCTTGTTCATTTTTATGTGTAAATATTAAAAATGATAAAATTTAATTATTTATTGTAAAGCGTATGTTTTCCGTTTTAATAACATACTATGTTATATTATAACTGAAGAAATAAAATAGTGTATTTTATTTTTATGTAACTAGAATTCATAATATTCCTTCATTTAAAACAGAAAATTATATTTTACAAATAGGACATTGAATATTTACATGTTAACAATATATTGATCGAAATAGATATTTTCATCTGATGCCATTTATCATTAATATAATTGAAGTGTTTCACAGGAAAAATGAATCAACTAAGATGAATAATTATTTGAAGAGTTATGTGTAATAAAAATAGCGCCACAAAAATTTTAAATCCTTATTATGAAATATTGTTACGAATAATTTTAGGTAAGGATGAAGTTTAATGGTAAAATAGAAATTTTTTCCCAATTAACGTGAACTTTTTTATTAACAAAAGCTTATAAGATAATTGTAATTTAGATCTGATTAAAGTTGGTAGCCAAAAAGTATCCTTGACACCTCACTAATAGTAAATTGAAAACAGAATGATATTTGAATAAACATCTTTTACTTTTAGAAGTAGACGAGAGACCTTAACAGAATTGCGATACTTGCAAAGAAATTAGGTACGCACATTGGAAGGATTCTCGATTTTCAAAGTTCTGACTAATAAACACCTAACTAGGATGAACCCTTCGAATAAAAAACTAGCTGCAGTATTCAGTTAGCACTTTAACTTACACCAAAGTGAATTTACTTAGTTTCGAAGTAAACAATTATCATTTATGATGAAAGAAATTATTTACCTCTTTGTATTTATATAAGTAGTATAGTATATTAAAAAGAAGTAATTATTTTTTATGTATGATTCAATATTTCTTATATATAATCAATACAGTATAACTATAGATATTAATTAAAAAGTTCATAATGGTTCGGTATTTATTTATAAATATTTGTGTACATTCATTTACTTTTTAATTAAACTCAAATTTTTTTACTCTTAATTAGTTTAAAATTACTCTACATAGAAAAATCGCTTATTTAACATTTTTAATTTAAATAGTTAACTATACAAGATGAATGAAAAATATGTCATCCGTATTAACATAATATTTTATATCCTGTATAAAAATACCTGTATAAAAATATTTAAAGATTTTTTATCTATAAATTACTTTATAATTCAAATAATCGAAATTTTTTCATATTAGTTTCCAAGCTAATTTCAAACTAAAAACTAATACAATTTTAAAACATTATTAATTATTTTATTAAAATTCACTCATTCATTTTTAAATACGAAATTTAATAGAAAAATTTAATATAATTTAATATAAAGATATAAAAATAAAATTTTTACTTATGATTTTAATTATATTTAAAATTAATTTACTTAAAAAATGTATAAATTGAGATTTCATCAATAAATATATTCTTTGTATAAAGTTTTTTTTTTAAGTATTTAAATAGTATACCCATTTCTATTTACCACAACGGTTAATCCGAAGCTCATCAAATATTTTTTATTTTATTCTTAAGTACATTTTATACAACACGAGTTTCATATTTCAAACATATACATTTATTATCCTTATAGATATGTGATCGACTTTTAATAATTTAATAATCATCCATTATTTTTGTATTTTAATTTAAATCATTAGTAGTCTTGTCAATTCCGATTATTACGTCGCTTAAAAATTATTTTATTATTTGATATGAACTATATTATAATTTAATTTAATTAAAATCCTTTTTCTAATTTTTATTTTGTAAGGCCCCAAATATATTTAAAAGTTTATTTGACGTATTAATTAACAAGAATAAATAATACTGTTCATTTACTTTTTCAACAATTTTATATTCGATGTATAAAATTTTAAATTAATAGATTATAACTTATTATTAAAAATATTTAGATTTTATGAAATACAAAATCATTGGCAAATACAACTTTTTACATATGTATATATATATATATATATACACAAAGCTGTATCATAAATAATCTAAACATTTTTAATATAACGTACATAAAACATAAATAAAAATTGATAAAAATTATTTCTATATACAACTTAATTTTGAAAGACACAAAATTGTATATTTTTATTTCAATATTTGAAAACTTTACTTTACTATATTATTATACAATTTTATAAATGTATTAAAAATAAAATTTAAATTAAATAATGTAATGTAAATAGAGTAAATTATTTAAAAGAAGCAATAAGTTACATTAATATATAAAATATTTTAATACTTTTCAATATTTTAATTATTTATATTCCTAATATTTTTAAAGTGCAATTTTTATAAAGTACATTCAACATTAATTATTCTATTTTGTTCAAATAAGTCAATATTATCATACAAATTAGAATTCAAAAACTTATAAAATGAAATGGTTCTCATAACATATTAAGTTCTTAATCTGATTAATCCATTTTTGAACTTTGGAGATTTATAATTAAGAATATGAAATATATAAATAAATTTTCATTGTAATTTGTTTCGGCATTTTATAGATATTTGAAAATATAATCGTATACTACCAACATTTTTTCGCAATTGCAACAACTTTAGAATAGTCTATACATAATGTACATATTATATATACACATATTAAAATCCTTTATTTTTTAAGATTATAGTAAACTCAAATATTTTAAATAAATACATAATTTTATAATGATGTACCAATAAATAGATCATAAATACTAAAATTCATTAAATAAATATAAAAAGTTAAATATTTTAATTTTTAGTATATATATGTATAATATAAAACTATACCGTGAAGATAATAAAAAATATTTTGGTTTAATTGTTGAAATTATTGTAAAACAAAAATAGATTTTAATTACAGTAGAATAATATAGACTAACATATTTCTATATAATTTCACATGTATGGTCATTTGTATTACAAAATATCTCGTAACGAATAGACATTTGATATAATTTGTAATATCTTTATTCAAATTTATTATTACAAAATTCTTGTCATCTTTTTTTTTATTATTTTAAACTTTTATAACATAATTTAATTAACTGAGCTTTTATAAAACTGAATAATAAATAACTAAAATAAAATTTAACGAGGCTGATAGAAATAATACACCCCATAATTATTTATAAATCGTATTGTTAAAAGGTGTTATTAAAAATATATGATTGCTTAATTATGCAGAAAAATATTCTTGAGAATTATGTATTATATATATATATATATATAAACTAACAGTATAAAGTATATTATCATTACTCTAATAAATACAATTATCACTTAATTTATAGAATTATAACTTGGTTTATATTATGAATATTGAACTTTTTAATAAAATTAATACATTATATAATTGCATGGTTTTGATATTTTTTATATATATAATAATATTACCAATTGACATAAAATTGAAACAACATTATTATATAGTTTATGACTTTATAAGAAATCAATGTAAATTTTATAATTTTTTAATTTTGAATTTATTTGCTCATTTATAATATCACAATTTATTTAGTTCTGACATACTTAAATTATAAATAAGAAAAATTTTCAAATGTTTACTTGAATATTGATTTAAATTATCATTTTTCGCATACGATATTATTTTATAATTTAATTTCAATTTTATTTTCAATGATATAAATTAATTAGTAATATATACTATTACCAAATATGAATATTATTTTTAAATCATATTGTGGATTTAATAACTAGAAAGTGAAATACTTCTGAGTATTTTATTACTATTATACTTAATAAAATATGATCGCAGAAGAAAAAGAATTAATTATGTAAATATCGAAATAAGTTTATAAATTTATAGATGAAAAATACTTTTAACACTTTTAGAAAATTTTTTATAAGTTAATAAATATATACTTTCACATAATCTAATAAGATGATAAATTATCGATCTTGAATGTAGAAATGTAAAAAGTTTTACCAACATAGAATATTATTGTTTCCGTTTTATTTTTACTATCTATATAGTAGTATAATAATATGTAGCTGATTTTAAATATTTCTTTTGCATAATTAGCGAATGCGTATTCTTCTTTCAGGTTATCATTCATATACACATAATGAAAGTAGTCATACGGAACGTATGGAAGACGAGATATTAACTGTGCGATATGAAGATGGACGTTGGTCGAAACCGTACTATGATTGTGGAGGTGGAAACATTTGGATGTTGACATATACAGTACCATTTTTTGGATATGTGAACAACACATATTATTTCAAGTAAGATATTTATAATTGTGTATTCCCATTATATATATATATATTATATAAACGATAATTTTGATACTAACTGTAGTTTATAGTTATCATTGCCTCTCAAAAATTCTATGTAAAAAATGTATCAATATGCTATTATATACAAAAAAAATACATTTAAGTATTTATTATTATTGAAGCAGATCATTTTACAATTTAGAATAACTGAAATTCGATTACAATTATTTATGAAGTTATTAAAACATTAAATTTAATTTAAATCATATATTCTTTTGTTTTAAGTATATTATGTAAATTTGATACAATTTATATATAAATGAGCTAATTCGTAGGATATGAATACTTACTCGAGACAAAATAATTATATTAATAGATAAAATATAAAATCATTACGATTTTATTTTTTAAAAATTACAAATGATATTAGCATTAGACTTTTATGTCTAAATTTGAATCATATTGAATAGAAAATTCTATTAAATAGCAAGCGAATATTAAACCTTATATTGTTTTAATGTCATAATTATTATCAAATTCAGAGAATATTATATTTTCATAATTACTCAAAGAGCACGTGTTTATACTTTATTTGATTTTTGTAATAATATATGGAATAATCCTTTTTAATCATGCAATTTTTTTAATTTTCCTATATTATAGAAATTTATTATAAATGTGTAAAAAGATAGAATTCAATTAATAACGCCTATTGTATATATATTATTTAATAATTTCATTTTTATAAATAATTATAATAGAATTGTTAAAATTAAAAAAATTTAATTTCACAAGAAATACAATACACTATAATTGTTTGTTGTACGGATTGTCTGTTTTTATTTTTTGAAAAATTTTAGTACATAATGTATCGACATGTTTAGCTGAAGGTAATAAAATCAAATTCCAATGAAAATGAACAATATCAACGAAATACTCAAAAATATTTTGTGCGCCATAGTGAGTTTGAATAGTCGTAACCTAATAATTCTTCGATCGATTCAATATGCGAAAATAATTCTGAAACCAATCATGGAACATAAATGTTTGAGAACAATTTAACATTCAACAATATGTTCAATTACAGGGCATTCTCGTGTTTATAATAAAAGTATACAAAATGTTATTGCGATTTCAAAAATGAGTTTTATTAAAATCTCTGCTCAGTACATGTATTGTTAAACGTGATTTGCTTATGCAGATTTTATTAGCTAGTTAATTAATGAATAAATTATATTTATAATATTTTTAATAAATTAAAATGAATTTACCACTAATTTTATATATTTATTTATAAATATAGCCATTTACAAATAAATATTTACAAGTATAATAAATAAAAATAATTGGAAAGCATGTAGCAATAATATTATTATTTGTGTATTAGACATAAATTATATATAATTACTGAAAACCTATCATCAATAAGTAATATATAACAATTTTTATTTTATATTTTACATACTATAGTACATACTACATACTTTACATACTATTTTACATATAATAATTATATTTATATATTTTATCATGCAATATAATTTAATAATTATTATTTTGTCTATTATAACATGATTATTTTCATATGATAATTGCAATATTATAAAATTAACTTCATATTAATATATATTCATATTATATAAAAGCGTATAATAAAATAAAAAAATATGATTTATTTGTCCTTATTTACTTGATTTAATCTTTATATTTATAACTGTGTCTATAGTAGCATAAATTATATGTATAAATTAATTTATAGTTAAACAAATTAAAAAGACATATCGATAATTTACGATTTATAATAACTTCCCTACAAATGCATTAAAAAGTTCTTGCAGTGGAACAAAATATTTTATCAAAAATATATATATTGACTATAATATTTTATATTTATAAAGAAACTGTAAATAAACCTTGTTAGTTTTAATTGTTTATATCATTATAATATATAATATATTATTTAAAATTTATTAATATGTCAAATCTAGTAATATTCACATAATGTACTAATTGCATACATATGGTTATAAATTGATAGATATAATTAAAAATAGAGGCACTTTATTAAATCAACATTTTTATTAATCAAATTGAAATTCTATAGACTATAAAAAATAAAATACGAGATATAATTTCCTCATTCTTTGTAATTTATAATGCTACTAAATATAATTATTGTTCATTTTCGGTAGAGCATCAGATTTTCTAGAAGGTTTTCATTCAACTTGTTTATGTTTTTAAATGTGATTTCTTAAAAAAAAAATATATATATATATTATTTGTTATCAAAAATAGTAGGAACGTTGGTAACGCATCGTCTAATTTAATATCTTAATGTTCCTATTACCGATGTCATAAAAGATTCGATTAATTTGAATTTTAAAACAAGATAAGTCATTGTTCATATTTCTCGAAAAATTAAAATAGAATAATAACTACTTATAAAAAGAGAGGATAAAAAATTTCTTTTTCAATAATAATTAATAAACCTGTTGTTAATATAAAACGAATTTGAAAAATTATAAGTTATTAATAGTTTTAGCATATCCTCTATTAGTCATCTAGTGAAGATCTTGCAAAATCAATGTTGATTATTATTTAATTAAAATACTTTTTTACCTTTCACGTAATTCTTGGTTTCCAGCACATAATTAAAAGATATTACTAAATTGAAAAAATTTTATATTTTAATTCTAAAATTGAAATACAAGTATGTGTATAATTAAAAATTTGAAATTTTTTTGTATAATTCATACATTTTCAAAAATTATGTTATACTTTAATTAATAAATTTTTATGTTAAACTAATAAATATATATTTAATTATAATAATGACTTAAATTCTACTTTTATATAATACCGCTTTTTAAACAATTTAACTTACAGTAAACAATATTCATAAAAAATATTCACAAATATTCTGAATTCATACGTAAAAAATAATAAATATTTTTTATTAATAATATCTTTTTGGTGATAGTAAATTTAATATAATTATTAAAATCTTAATATAATATAAATTTTTTACCTTTCAAAATATTAAATTATTCATTTGCGTTATAAAATTCGCTTTTTTAATTAATTATATTATATTATAATTTAATATATCATACTTTATTTCATTTCAAGAAAATCTTTTCATTTAAATAAATTAGAATGAAGCCATCGCATAACAATATTAGTTAAGATTTGTAATATTTAATGCTTTATTTTTTAGTAGTAAAAATTTCAATTATTTCTTCATTTGTCATTTAAATGTGCTGTAATACTGAAAAATTGTTAATAAGTGTATTGTTCTCTTAAATAGAAAATTAAGTTTTATTATTTTTTAAAATATTTACATGAAATCAAAATACGTATCAATATAAAAACTTTTAAAGTTTTAATAATGAAAATAAATTATTCTTGAAATAATATAAATTTTATTAAACATGATTTAATAGACAAATATTGATTAAAAAAATATCTGAAATTTGGATATGTATTTATATCCGCTTATTACTTCATTCTTAAAATATTTATTACTATATTAAATCTAAACATCAATAATTATCTTTGTACAACGTTAATGTAAGAATAAATTAATTGAATTTAGTAATTACATAATAATAATACACCACAAAGTTTTGTTAATAAGTTTTGTTAAGTTAAAATTGAAATTATAGTTTAATTTAATTTAACATTAATTTAACAATTAATAAAGTTTAATTTAACAATTAATTTATTACCAATGTTGAAATGACGATACCTCTCTGACACATATTAATTACAATCCCCAACTTAGTAAATAAATAGTCTTTTAGAATATTACTATTTAGAATTTTCTAACTTCTAAACCTATACATATCTTTAATTACCTTCGCTATTCACTAGGTTTGACATCCATTTTCTATTTCCAACTTAGAAATGAAAATAAAGTTAAAGCAATCGAACCAATACTGTTGTTATTAATTTCAAAGATTATTAATAATATTACAAAAATTGTACGAAAAAGTTTTTGTTTATTATGAATATATATAATTATTATAAATATACAATTAATAAAAATAAATTTCAAAATAAAATTTCGGTATATCATACATAAAAATTATAACTGAGAGTATAAGTATTTATTTGCAATACTATAGAATAAAATTGGACGTTCTATTTTATCTATTTAATTTTAGAATTAATATAAAAATAACAGTATTTAAAGAATAAAAGCAATTTAAAAATATATATTCGAGTAAAGTAAACGTTATTTCAATCATATCAAAGATATAATAAAATATATTCTTGTATATTAACATGACATCAGAAATGACAAAAAAAAAAAATAATAATAATAATAATAATAATTGCTGATATAAATTCACATTTATCAATTGTTTTATTTACCTTAAATTTTCTAAAATAAACGTAGGATATGCATAAATAATAATTCAATATTCTTCACTTATCTCTGGCGTATATTAGCTCGGTACTGTATAGTAATTGAATGACATTTCACATGAGATACGTAAATGTCAGTATCGATACGGAAACTTTGAAAATCAATATTTCAACTTCGATGTATGAGCAGCTTAAGGGGTTATAGTACGTTAGAAAATTAAAAAATCACAATAATTTCATTTTGTTTTCTTGTAAACAATGACGATATTATATTATCCAATTTTCAAAATAATTCAACTAAAAAGTTAGAATAATAAAGTAAGCAATATTTGATCTCTCCGTTAAAAGACAACTGGTTTATAAAAAATAATTGTTATTTAACAATTAATTATCATTACTTATTGTAATTTTTTGTACTTTAATATTTACATGTTTAAAAAATTAACCATAATATAAAATTTAATGTCATAATTACTGAAAATTTATATTAAAAATCATAATCAAGTTTAGTGTGGTTAGTGAATATACTGACAGGCATTCCT